ACATTTTTAATGACTTCTCTTTCCTTCAGTTTTGCAAAAGATCACCGAATTATTGTCCTATGCCTGCCTCCCCACACAACACACGCCCTTCAGCCTTGTGATGTTGGCGTGTTCAAGCCACTTTCGACATTTTGGAAAAAAGAAGTTGAGAAGGTGTGTGTGTAAACGTATGATTGAGCCAGTGTAGCTTACCCTGTGGCTCAGGTTACTCGTGCCTATGGCGCTATAAACAAATATAATCTCCTTGCACACTACCACAATGCTCGCACACAAGCATTCAAGCCCACAACCATCATGAACTCTTTCCGCAAGACAGGTATCTGGCCTGTTAATCGTCATGCAATTGACGCCGACGAGTTTGAGACCGCGAAACACTACACCAATCAGGCCACCCTTCCCACCATCACACCCGCAGACGGAAACATTTCTAACGATGTGCAATGCTCAGCTTCTGGCCCAACAGAATCATTTCCTAGTGTACAAAGTGGTCAACAATCACGGGCCCCTACATCCAACTTGACTGGCTTGTCCACGTCTCAGTCCCAGCAGACGATTACCGAATCTAACATCTCCTTGGAAGCTGCCGCCATTTCCGTTGCAGAGGTTGATCCATTGATCCCTCCTTCCATCTCAGCCCCCTCGACACCGTCTCATAACAAGAGACCTCATCCCACAGACGGATTGATTGCAGCCGCCTTTCGGCTCGTTGCACCTTCTCCGCGGAAGGGTCCACAGTCCAGAAAAGCACTACGTGCCGAGAACACCAATCTTCGTGACGTTCTGGGTGGTGCTGATGTCGAGATCGAGAAACTCCAGACCCAGTTGAAGCTTGCTGCCATCGAAAATGCCGAATTGCGCCAAGCCCTGTGTGCAAAGAAATCAAAGGGAAATCGAAATCTGATCGATGGGATGGCACGGAACCTTACTGCGTCAGAAAACATGGAGGAACTGGGTGCCAGAGAGCATCGTATCATCTACACAGCCCTGCACAAAGATATCGTGCCGCTCCTGGAAGAGATCTCGAACTGGATGATAGCGAGAGGACGGGTAATCGATTCGGACACAGTGGGCTCGAATGGCCCGGCCAGCGCTCTAGAACAGGAGTCAGACGGACACTGGTTGTACAATGTATTCCCGCCTGTTAGCCTCCTCGGCCGTGGCTATGTGCCGAAACGAAGACGTGGACGGCCTGCTGGTCGTGGTACTGGCCGTGGGGTGCGTGGTCGTGGCGGAGGGAGTAGAGCTGACTCAGATCGTGGAAGAGGAGATGGTCGTGGTCGTGCGCGTGGTCGTGCGCGTGGTCGTGGCCATGGTCGTGCGCGCGGTGGCAGTCGTGCACGTGCACATGGTCGTGGTCATGGTCGTGGTCTTGCGCGTGGTCATGGTCAAGACCAGGTGGACTCAGACAGTGAGATGATAGACATCGACCTCGAGTTTGGAGATGAGGAATCCGAAACAGAGCGTAGTGGCGACTCGAGTGGACCGGACACCACATCAGGCACAGAAGAGCTTTCATCGACCTCTACGGGCAGGGATGCTGCTCAGAGCAGCGAGGATGAATCGAGCATGGACGAAGGTGGTGATCAGGTAGCGGAAGAGATCGAGATTGTTGCCATCAACGGGCATCGATGGGTTTCGGGCGACCTTGAGTTCATGGTCATCTGGGCTGACGATGATGTGACCTGGGAACCGCTCGAAACTGTGAACGACTGCGAGAAATTAGAGGATTATCTTGATGCACGCGGGAAAACTGATCCCCTTCAGCTTGGAAAGCGGCGATATGTTCTTGATAAAGCTTTCCAGGCTTCAAATCCCTAATTAACTATCTCTCCACTATTTAATGTGTAAAAGAGCAATTACAGACACTTTTCGGTGCAGGGAGTCCTTGAAAATTGCTCGAGATCGTAAATGGCCCGCATCACGGTATTTTCCCCATTAGGACTTGCATCACGGGGATATTCACTGAGCTCGACACACCTCAAAAAAAAATAATCCAACACTATAGGCTCTCAGACATGAACCTTGCCCGTGAACTAAACGGGAAATGCAATGCAATATGTGTTGTGGATAAATGTAGTAAGATCAAAACCCTAAGGTGGCCCGATTCCCCATATCATACAGTACATCTCACGTGCAAACCTTCCGCTCTCAATTGGACTTGAAGTGAAAAAGGGTTTCGTAAGATTTTGTACGTGAATAGTACACGTCAAGATTGAAAACATTCTGCCAAAATCTACTGCACATGTCCTTGCACCAGTATACACGTGCGGACATTGATTCGTTACTTACATGTTTCATTACTCAAGAGTCGAAGATGGCGCCATAAGCTGCGATCCCCCTGCTTTCCATAGCATACACGACGCGCTGGGTGAGCTTGGGGTTTGATATGATGAAGACGGCTTCGGCCTGGGCCTCGACAACGAGCTGGTACGTCACTGCGACCATGTCTGGCCGGCCTTCCGTGCGCGTGTCCCAGATCCACGCGTTGGGATCAGCCTTCTTGACCGCACCGACGACGCCCTCGCCATACGTGACGAGCGGGGCGGGTGTCGACCAGAAGATGCGTCGCGGGGTCACGTTCGCGTAGAACAGCGAGAGGCACGGCCCGATGCCGGACCCCGTAGCGACCACGACGATCTTCTTGAACAGGTTGGATGTGTAGAGAAGCCCGTGCATGGGTGCGCCGCGGACCCAGAGCTTCTCGGGTGGGTTACGGATCATCTCGCTCGTCCAGTCGCCGGCGTTCGACACGACGACGGAGAAACCCTTGGACCCGGCCCCGTCGTCGTCTGGGATCGTCGCGAAGGCGTGCCACTCGAGGAGGGGCTTCGTCGAGATCTTCAGACCGTAGAATGGCTGCATGTCACGGTACTTGAAATGCAAACGCGTGGCGTGGCTCGAGAGCACTTCGGGGTAGACCTTGATGTGGCGCAGACGGCCCCAGGATAGAAGCGAGCAGCTCGTTGAGACACACAACGTCCAGAAGTTGGGTGTGTTGATGATGTAGCGTCCGAGCGACGGCGGAAAGTCCATGTAGGCGCGGTACTGGTTGCCGGCAAAAAAGCTGTGCATCCAGAAGGTCATCAATGCAACCCAGCCAGAATAACGATGCACTGCCTCGAAGTGGTCGTGATACCTGCGTCGGAGGATCGGATGGGCCGACGCAAGAATGCAGACAAACATGGTGATCAGGATGTACGACGTGATCACATTCGCCAGTCCCCAGTTGGACGGCCGCGCCAGGTAGTCCTTGGTCGTCAGCCCAGTGTAGAGCGCGTACCACACGACAGCCGCTGTGCCCGAGCCGCTGTGGCCCCCGCCGTAGTGGAAAACCTTTGCGAGCCGGCTTCGGAGCCAGAGAGGGGCGCTCTGAGGGCAAGCGACAGCGATCTCGTACAGAAGATTCACAAAGTTCTCTTGGCGGAAGAGCAGCGTGACCATTAGGTTGACAGAAGCAGCGCTACCCACGTCGGGAGCAAGTGGCCGGCCGTCCTTACGAACCATCAAACCAATGAATGCTGCCATGTTCGCGATGAATATCGTGGCGAACGTCTTGCGGTAGGACGTAAACGCGGTATCTATCGAGTAAATTGGTCAGTAATCAGATGAGATGCGAGGGTCAGAGCCTACAGTGAAGCCAGCGAGTGAGCCTGGAGGCTCCCTTCTTGGCTGGAAGATCAAGATCCTTCTTTTCGATCTTTCCTAGCTCGGCGACGACAACATCGGTGATACCGCCATCCTTCAAGTCCTTGGAATCCCCGCTGGAGTGAACAGAGGGCGTGGAGATCGAAAAAGGGGCTGGCTGTTCAGCAGAGTCAATGAATTGCATGAGATTGAGCGAGACTGGCACAAAAGAAAGGGAGCACGACTCACAGTCGACATGCTTGCCTGTAAGAAAGACTGGGGGGACTTCTCGACGGTTTATCAAGAGAAATAACTCCCCGCTTTTATCCCGTTTAGCCATCTGAGAACGAGCATTCCCATCCATATGGTCCTTCAGTGAGAATCAGGAGCGATACCCGTGATTCCTACAGCAGCACGTCGTTTTGATTGGATGATCATGATCGCAGTACAGGTCGCGAGAGGTCAAAGTTGCTAACTGAGCGGATTATTCTTCGAGCGGCAGAGTTGATTCTGTGGGAGAAAAGCACCAGCACCAGAGCAAGCTAAGTCGATAGCGCCCCAACACGAAGATCGGGATGGAATCCGAGTCGACAGATAAGACATCGCGGGCCAAGCAGAGTTACCAGTGTTGTCCCACGTCGGATCGCGGGTCGCGACTCGACCCGAGAGGTGGGTCGAGTCGGGCTATCTGCGCAACCCGACAACCCGGGTCTCAACCCAGACCCGACCCGCGACCCGACCCGACCCGGTCACCCAGGTCGGGTTGGGCAAAATCCCTCGACCTGACCCGACCCGACCCGACCCGACCCGGAACAAAACGAGTGAAGAGAGAATGCGCAGATGGCGCAGATGGCACGGAGCAAAGACAGCTGGCAGCGAAGGCGTACTTTGTCCTCAAACAGATTGCTTTCGGAGCCAACCATGAAATCGCCAAGGCACTGGCAGAGATGGATTTCCAAATCCCCAAACAGCGTGTGGAAATGATCCCGATACACGTACGAGGCTTGTTTTGATCGAAATCCCACAGCGCGGGGAGCCCCTCGACCAGTCTCTCAACGTTATCGTCGTCAGTATCCCCCAACTCCTCAACTACGACCCTCTACCCACGATGAAATTCGCTACCACCTTTGTCACGCTCGTCTCTGCGATGCACTCTATTAGTGGCATGGTCTTTACTCAGTGATGATCGAAATCTTATTTTCGAACACACCGACGTGAACCTGTTTCGCCGTGATACATGAAGACTGCAATAAAGCACCAGATATGCAATTGCGAGTTTGATATAAAGAAAGCAACTAGTGGTCGCACCTCAGTGTGTCGTGTCAGAGAAGTGTCAATCGATCAACAGCTGATAATGCTTGCTTACATGATCTCGTATTTCCTTCCTCATTCGTTGCATTCATCTCGTCGCAGCATGTGCAGCGCCCAGCCCACTGGCGATGGGCCATAGTCATTCTAATACGCTACTAACACCATCTCCGGAGAACTGGACACTCGAATGGTCTTCCCTAACGACTGCAAGCTCTTCAAACGTTTGTCGCCTGACCTACATGCATGTATCGACGAAGCTGCCGCCCGCATCTAGGAACCGGTGCCTCGCACTTTCCGGAAACCGACATGGAACTCTCGAATGAACGCTGCCAGTTTTCTGCCCTTCCTCGACGCATATACGCACGCACATCTACGGCGCTCTCCACCCGCACCGTCCACGCAGTCGTTTCTAGTACCACAATCCGCGGTCCAAACCGCCGAGAAGTCCATTTCGTCTCGTGCTGAGCACGTCTGCGATTCATGCCCTCGTGAGGGCGCGGTCCCGATTAGCGGAGAGCGTCGTGGGGGTAATGTAGGAGGACAAGTCTAGGGGAGGCTGCCAAGGCAGAGATACGAGTGGGCAATCTGTGACGCGTGTTGTCGCATGGGTGCACGTTAATGCATTCCCTCCCTCTCTCGATTTGTGGCTTGGTGCGGTGGGTACACACACCGTGGGAGTAAGCTCCGCGGTCAGCCATTTCGCCTGGCCCATGGTGCTTCTCTGACTCCTGTTCGTGGTCTAGCTTCAGTCGGTCGTATGTTCGTTTGGGGAATCGGCTTTCTCTCAGATAAGAGACTGCGTGGGACAAGCGCTTATAAGGAATGCTGCAATCTGTGGTACCGCAATCCAGCCGGCAGGTTCTTGCTACGATGTGGACGACGACCGTCTTCCTCCTCGTCATCTCTTTTGTGCTCCACAGTTCCGCTACTCCATTCCCCACAAGCACCGACCCCGTCATTATACCGCTTCGCCCCAGAAAGTCGCTGACCACTGCGAATGGTGACTTTGACCGAGACCAAGCGATTGCGGAGACTGTAAAGACTGTCAACAAACACCGGCAGAATCTGATCAACCTCAAGCACAACATGGGCGTCGAGTTGTTCAATCCAGTGTGTTTCTCGGGCTGTCCAGTGTACGTCGGCATTGACAGCTACGCCAGGGCGCAGAGATTAAGGATCCCACGGTCGTTCCCCGCGATATCGAATCTCGGCGGATAGACAAGCGTCAGCGGGAGTCCCTCGTAAACCAGCAAGATACGGAGTGGACTGGCGCGATATCGATTGGCACCCCTGCGACAACGTTTGTCATCGACTTTGACAGTGAGAGGCCTCCCTGCGAGGGGGAGCGAACTGGGTCTCACACTTCGCAGCGGGATCGTCCGACCTCTGGGTGCCTTCAAGCAGCTGCAAGTCCTCTGCATGCCCCGTCCACGCGAGGTACGACCCCAGCCGCTCATCGACTTCGACTCAGAAGTCGGGCGAGTTCTCGATCGAATACGGTGACGGTTCGACTGTTTCAGGCCCCATCTACACTGATACAGGTATATCTTCGCCTCTGCCACCATCTGGGCCAGTACTGATTCGGACCGTAGTTACCGTCGCGGGAGTCCAGGCGAAGAATCTCTACCTCTCTGGTGCCACGACCGTCTCAGATGCGTTCATTGAAGACCCGGCTGACGGTGTCTTGGGCATGGCGTTCTCCGAGATATCCAATATGCAGCAAGACCCGTTCTTCATGACCGCTTACCACCAGGGCGCCGTCGCCATAAATCAGTTTTCGTTCTTTCTCGCTGGCGACGGATCACAGCTGTACCTCGGTGGGGTCGACGGCACCAAGTACACCGGCGGGATCGACTTCCATGCGCTGTCTTCGTCCGCTGGATTCTGGCAGATCTCTGTTGCCGCCGTCAAAGTGGACGGTGAGTCCACTGGCGTCGGTGGTCACGGGTTTGAGGCGATAATCGATTCGGGGACCACCCTGATGTATGGTCCACCTGCGCTTGTTGCAAAGATCTACGCCAAAGTGCCTGGCTCGCGGCTATTTGACAAAAACCAGGGTGTGTGTTCTAACCTTGTTGCGCGGCGTATCCTGCTCATATAATGAACGAGGATACTACTCTTATCCCTGTAATTCTCCGCCGCGTCTTTCCTTTAGCTTTGGCGCTCGAGACTGGGACATCTCGCCCGACACCATCGGACTAGGTCCGACGGCAGTGGGATCGACGGAGTGTGTCGCGTCGCTCGTCGCTCAAGACATTGGTCTGGGAAGGAAAGTTTTCCTGCTCGGTGATGTGTTCATGCGCAACTCGTATGTGGTTTTCGATGCAGGAGAGAAGGCGGTTGGATTCGCGCAGCTTTCTTGATTCGAATATGTGATGTGATACAGACGTGTTCCACTTTAGATATGTCCCTTTGTGAAGGCTGACGCTAGTCTATGAGATCGAATCAAGTCGTGAGTCCACGCACACAATGGGTTTGCTCAGAAAACTCCCCAACGACTGATCGAAACGGTTCCATATGAGATCCACCCTTCCACTGGCATCGCTTTATAATCTTATCAGTCATCATTTTATGAGATGAGATGATTATCAAAATGCCTCGACATCTTTCATGACTGTATCTTCCCCGAGTGGACTAGGAAGTACGATTACATCTATCCAATGATCATCAGTACGCGCATTTATCAGCATAGGACTCGGGCGGGCGCGCTGGCTTGGCAGATGGACGTCGACGGACAGACAGTGGACAGATCTTGATGATGGATGCGCGTCTCGGAGTCTCCAAGTCGGGCTCTCGATGAGTGGAGCTCCTGCGCTGAGGAGAGCTCTTCTCGTTACAGACCCTGACGCGCGACAGATGTCAGAGATTGATTTCCCCCATCTCACCGGTGTGCATGTGGGACTCGATCTTCGGGGAAGAGTTAGGTGAGCGTAGACTCTTATGCAAAGAGTGTAACTGCAACAAACTCCCAGACATCCATATCAGCTACGGGAACTGCTATCCAGTTCTTGTGTCTCCAAGGGCTCGCATGTGTCACGTAGGGGTATGAGTCATGTACGAGGCCACACACGAGCGAGGCTGAGCTAGATCTCGGTACCACATGCAAGTTACTATTCTTGCCCCCCGCTCGACAGCTGACAAGGCAGTTCAGTCAGTCAGTCAGCGCAACCTACGTGCGCATCTGCATACACAGACATGCGGCACCAATCGTATAAGATGCGCGTGCCACTGCCTTACTCCACATACTTTCCCCTTCCCCATTCCCACTCCCGTTCTCGTTCGATTTCGCTTTCGTTTTGAAACCCGTTCAGTTTCCCTCCTTCCTTCAGTGACATTCCAGCCTTGATTCGGCTACACACAATCTTTCTCAAACACGAGATGCTCACGATACGATTCTCGACTCTCCTGCAGTTCACACTACTGGCCACGGCCGTCTTGAGGACGGACGCAGCGCCACTGGATGTGCACAACGATGTTCACGCGCGTGCCGTGCTGGGATTCCTGGATGCCGCATCCGTGAGTGATGCTCGGATGATCTGCACTTCTCCGTCATGCTGACCAGAATGCAGTGCTCGAACATCACGACAGGTCTCTCCGGCGGCCTTTCCTCTGCCCTCTCCGTATTGTCCACGATCAAAACGTCCGTGCTCTCTATTGTCAACAGGCATGCAGCTGACGCGCTTCCAGGTCTGACATCAACATTGCGAAAGACCTCGCCGCGCTCCAAGGGTTTCTGACCACCGCGAATGGCGTCGGACAAGCCGTTTCGGGTGCCTGCTCAGCTGCATCGGCACAGGGTAAAGCCGCGACACCCGCCCAAAGTTCTGCTGCTGCTGCCGCCGCCGCCAGTGCAACCCAAGCACTCGCACAAGCTGCTGCCCTTGCCGCCGCTGCCCAGAACTCCCAGGTCGTCGCAGCCAGCGCGATCCTCGCCAAAGCACAGACCGTGGCGAAGGCACCTGCAGCTGCAACTCAAAGCGCAGCCGTTGCTGTTGCCGTGCCTGCGAAAACAACGGCGCAGGCTGCTGCCGTCAAGACGCCCACTCAAGCTGCCGCCCCCGCCGCGCAGCCGACACAAGCCGCCGCACAAGCTTCGGCTGCGAACGCGATCGTCGCACAGGCGCAGGCACAGGCTTCGTCCATCCTCGCCCAGGCAGAGGCCAAAGCTTCTCAGGCGATCGCTGCCGCCGTCGGTGCCGCCGCTGCCAAGGCCACTCAGGCCAACAGTTCGCTCGGCAGCCAGCTCAGCTCTGCGGCCAAGGCTGCGTTGGTGAAGGCTGAGCAAGCCGCCCTCGCGAAGGCGCAGCAGGCGGCGCAGTCAGCGATTAGCAAGCTCCTCGGGGGTGGGGGGAAGAAGAGCAGTGGCGGTAGTGGTGCTAAGAGCGGTGGGGGAGGTGGTGGAGGCAAGGGTGCTGCTGCCGCGAAGACGACCCCGCCGCCCACTGCCACGACGACTGCGTCGGATTCGAGCGAGACCTCGACGGATGTGCAGACGGGTGGAAGCACGGACGTGCAGCCGACTTCGACCGACCCGAGCACGGATGCGACGTCGACGGACGTGCCCACCACAACGGACAGCGCCGCTGCCGATGCCACCTCCACCGATTCGAGTGCGGACGCGACTTCGAACGATTCTTCTGCGGACGCCACTGCGACGGATTCCAGCACCGATCCTTCCGCGACCGACTCGAGTGCCGCCGCCGACGCGACAGCCACTGACACAGCCGATGCGACGGGAACCGATACATCCGCCGGTGCTACTGCCACAGACGATGGATCTGCTACTGCGTGAGTAATCCCCCGAGTTCCCTTGCTCTTGTCTGAATATCGAAAATCCAGAACCGACTCGGCCGATTCGTCCACCGCGACTGATCCTTCTGCGTGAGCATCCTCATGACTTCGTCCTTGCAAACGATGGATACTGATGAGCCTTGGAATGCAAGCACCGACGCTGCAACTGCTGCTGATGCGACTGCGACAGACGATGGGTCCGCTTCTGCGTGAGTCCTTTCTCTTCGCTGCTCTGATTATGTCGACGTGGCTGACGACAATGCAAGTACTGATGGGACCGCTGATGCCGCCACTGCCACCGACGCCGGATCAGCTGCTGATGCGACTGCGTGAGCTTGCACGTGATACACTATCTCGTGATGCTGACCACCCACGACCTAGCACGGATTCGGCCGACGCAGCTGCTGCCACCGATCCTACTGCGTGCGTCTCAATCTCAACCGTTTACTCACATCAAACTAATTCAAAGAATAGCACGGACACGACGGATCCTGCCGCAGCTACCGACGCGACTACGGATCCCTCTGCGTGAGTTCTTGTGGTTAATCATTTCGATTGATTGACATTACTCACCATTCCCAGGACCGACGGTGCCAGTGACCCGACTGCCACCGACTCAACGACGCCTGCGGATCCGAATGCCGCCACAGACCCCAATGCCGCTGCATCGGACCCCACTGCCGACCCGAACGCCGCCACCGCGACCGACCCCACCGCGGATCCCACTGCTGATCCCACCGCGTCTGACCCGACTGCGGCCGACCCGACTGCGTCTGACCCCACTCTCTCTGACCCGACTGCGTCTGATCCTTCGCTCTCTGACCCGACTGCGTCGGACCCTACGCTCTCTGACCCTACCGCATCTGATCCCTCGATCGACGACACCTCCAGCACTGACACGTCTTCTTTCGATGATGGCTCCTCTTCGTTCGACGACGGCTCCTCTTCTTTCGACGATAGCTCCTCTTTCGACGACTTTGGCGGAGGTGATTTCGGCGGGGACGACTTTGGTGGCGATTTCAAGCGCCGTAGTGTATCGCGGGTGATGCGCTCGTTGTTCGTGTAGACTGTGTTTTAAATATTGCTATTCGTATTCTTGCTTTTTGAAATTATATCTTGTTTTGGGCTTTGCATCTATGGCATGTTTCTGCTCAACGAACATGAAGCGAAAAGACCCGTAATTCACCGGCCATTTGGTGGGTTCAACGCTTGGCATGTGATCCGGGCCAGTGACAAGGCAAGATCACACAGCCGCTTGACATATCTTGTGCTCGTCTGGTTCCTGAGCCAGTTGTGTTCTGCATCCTCAATCTGTGCACCTTTACAGTACACAACATATTAGGCTGTCCTCAACACCGGTTTCTCACAGGCTTCTGCCCCAGCGTTACAACTCCCACGAAACGATTGTAACTGGAATGAATCAAGACACCCAGTGTCCGTGCGATGAGACTAGTGGAGCAACGCTTAGTGATATCCAAGAGTATGCAAGCCAGTGAAATCCTTTATCCTCGTTGGCATGGACCCTGGAAATCAGATTCTGATCCACCCGCAGCACAGAAGATACTCGATGTCGGATGGTTGTGCATCATCAGATTGTGGACCCACTCGGAGGTATCAATAACGGAAATGCCATCATGCGCTTTGCTATATATGAGGCGAGCGAGGACATTCATCGATACGATCATGTCTACCGCCTCGAAGCTTCCTTCTGGCTCGCAGAATTCCAACGAGTTGGAGGTTGTGCTCGCTTTGAACAAATCCAACCACGGACATCGTCTGATTGATTACGCGGAGCTGCCTGATCTGTGGAAGAATAATCCGTTTATGCATGGTGGATACCGGTGTGTTTCCCTCTCGAGCCTTTCTGACGCATACTCATGAGTTGATTTCTCTCTCCATCAATTAGTTTCATCCCGCTCGAGAGTCCACACTTACTGGTTTCATCCATATTCCAAAGACATAATGAATTCCGTGCGCTCTATTGTTCCGTTATCATACGCACTTATCTGAGAAACTTGGCCAGTGAATATCCAGACTCATTTGATTCCTGCGCTCTTTTGGATTTGGAGTATCTCATCTGGCGGAGCAATGCACCTCTCCGAGACAATCTACCTGTCAGCCGTATCCTTGTGCCTCCTCACGAGTGTGATGTGGCACACCATGGCCGGTTGCGCCCACCACCAGACCATGTCTGCCTGTGCGAAATTGGACTACATCGGCATTGGATGGTTCGTATCTTGTTAGACGAGTCTATTGAAGAGCGGGAGCATTCATGCAGGGTCTGACAGGCTGATATCTGCCAGCACGGCGACCATTGTTCTGCATGCCTACGAGTCGCGTCCGTTGTTGCTGTCAATGTTCCTGGCCTTCTGTTGCACGATCGCGATTGCGGCGACGGCGTTCCCTTTCATGCGGTGGTTCGATGGATACGAGAATAGGGTGCGTTCCACCAGTTCCGTTCGTTCTCATGTGCCATAACGAATCGCACGCTCGTAGCTTTGGAGATTGGGGTTTTATATTTCTCTGACTCTCATGGCAACCACGCCCTTGATATTGCTCTGGATGCTAGATGGGACGGCAGAAATGTGGCGCTATCTTTGTGAGTCAATTTCCGGATCCTCCATGTACCATGAAGTGCTTAAAATTGTGTGAAGCGGTTGCTCTCCCAACTTTCGCCACTATGGGCACAGGTGTAATTTTTTACGCTTTGCATTTACCAGAGCGATTCATTCTTCAGGGTGGGCCCTTGGAAAAGCTCATGGAAGCGGTAGGCGCAGGATCTCATGCCATCTGGCATTTAACTATCGTGTTGGGTGTTGTGCAATGGCGAGAAGGGCTCAGATGGCTGCATACAAACGGTATCTAGCTCCAGAATACAGATACTGTCTTTATTAGATATCTAAATAGGTGATAGCTGAGAGAGAGAGAGAGGAAAATTCATGCTGAATTTCTCAGATTCGAACTCTCCATATCTTCATCTTTCCTGAAGAATAGGCCAAAACAATGAGTGTAACTCTAGTGCCAGAAATCTAGATATTCACTCTCATGAGCGAATTTTATTGAACCTCAAAACTTTCATGACAATCGAGTGATATTGGAAGGAAGAGAAGCTGTGAATTCGGGGTCGAAAAGTTGAATGAAGTGACCTGTTGTATGATGGAATCTACGAATCACCACAAGACATAGGCTTCTTCGAGAAACTTGAGAATAGATTCGTAACACGGCACAGTCATCGCCCTTGATATTCCGTGAAACGCTCTAATCATCCTTCCCCTTTGGACTTCATCTTGATCTTATCTTAGTCACTGGCTGATGTTATGGCTGATGACATCAGCCTGACGTGGCCGTGCTTTTTCACCATCAGAATGCTTTGTCGCTCCATCTTTCTCGCTCGACAGTGCCAGCCCAGCCGATGGACGCGTGGCCTAAAACAAGACGTATCGTGAGTTCATCGAAATTGCCTCTGAATTTCAAAAACCTCGCCGACCATGCAAAGGTACCGCGTCATCAGCTCCTTGGACCCCCGGCACATTCAACGCTCCGACTACGTTGTTCTCTCTGACTTGATCTTCATCAGCTTCAACCTGCCGTATTCTTCACCTCCTGGAGAGCCATCCCAGACTCGGACCAGCGTCAAAACTGTGTACTCCGCTAGACGCACCAACGGCGCCCGTGAGATCCTGCCCTTCCCACCGCAAACTCGGGGCTTCTTCTACTGGGACCCGTGTCTTGATATCTCGCACTCCGGTCTCGCGGGCGGTCTCAAACTCCGCCTCAGCCCGTCAGATGATGATCCGGCACGTGCGTTTGCAGAAGGGGAGGACCTGCGGTTCCCGGCCCCTTCCGACCGGGTTTGGATTCGCACGCTCCCCGCGGTCGCTTCGCGTAAGGCATTCGTGCAGCTTACATCGCACCTCGTCAACACGGGCCTCGTCAGTGCGGAGGATCTTGATTTCTTCCGCCGGACGTTTCCGGAGCACACGGCGATCTCCAACCGCGCGTCGTTTTTGTATCGGCTAGGGCAGAGCTTCCTACTCGATCTTGGCCAGCCGAAATTCACTGTGAATGTTATTTCTCTCGGACGGCGGGTCGTATTCCCCGGGATCAGGTCTGCGTTATACCGAGCGCCTACGAAGAACGACAGTGAGTCTTCTCAATGGGCTTATTGCCGCTTACTGTGCTGATGACGCTAGTCGGAAATGTTCCAGTTCCTTCGTGCCTGGTCCGAGTTCATTACGAACTGCTGTCTACGTCCTCCCCGTTTTCGTCCCCCAATCTCACCCTTGGACTTCGGATAGAGTCAGTTGTTACGCCATTTATCCCACACCCAACCATTCTCATTGCGCCACCCGTTGCCGGCCGATTTTTGCACACCTGGGATCCGGCCACCCACAAGGCGCAGGTCTGGTCCACGTGCCCCAGAGAGGCCCGGCAGCAGGTCTTCGAAGCTTTGTTGGAGGAGGAGGTTGCTCATCACGCTAGCGGTGGTCAAGCTCTTGGTCTATGATCAAAATAGTATTGCAATGAATTATACCCACGTGAAAAGATGACGGACTCGATTGCCGAAAGAAACCGGATTGGAGGGCATGAGCGTGAGGAGCTTCATGCGGACTACGTGTCACAAGGCCCTCTACTCGAAGCGCCCCTCCCACCAATCTTGCAGAAACGTTCTGAAATCTGAATCTCAAGGATGAAACAATCGATCTCGCTCAGATAGAAAACGGAGAGAATGCTGAGACGCAAGGACAGAAGTCGGAACTCCATTTTCAATGCTAAATCAGGACTAAGTTTGTTTGACAAGACTCGGAAAACTGTTGCATCTGATTCGTATGTAGGAAGACCTTGTACACCGGGAAGAACGAAGAACAGAGTGCACTTGTGAATCAACTTCTTCGATGCCCGTTCAGGGCATGCCCTGCACTTGTGTTGCACCAGCAACTGGGCCCAGGCCTGTCCATCGGCTTTTGACAAAGACTGGGTGACATGAATAGATCAATACTTCTCTCCTTGTTGGGCAGTCACTGCAATGACATACTTTCCATTCCGATCGGGATGTCGGCGAAATCCTTGAAGTTGCCGGTCTGAACCGCCTGGGACTCGCCGAAAGCGGGCGTCAGATGCGTGATGGCGCTTCCACAGTTCCCACAGAAAACGCGCGTCACTGTGAAAGGTGTCAGCGTTGAGCAGACTGCGGGTCTAACCGTCGTACCGATGTTTCCAGACGGCGCTTTGAGATCAAAGCTCTGGACGGGTCCAGTGATCTTGACTTCTGTCTTGGGAACTAGGACATTCGTGCTGAAGGCGCTGCCACTCGTCTGGCGGCAGTCGGTACAATGGCAGACGATCTGTCCGCACAAATCATTCAGGCACATCTTCGACTGGGAGATGGTAGGCCCCGTACCTGGTTCTTTTCAGTAGTACCAATCTCGATAGAGACTTTGCCGCAGAGGCAGGATCCTTGGTGGGGCATGATGGGAGTGGGTTAGTCTCTCTTGCAAAGCCGCTGTTGTATTTATATCGTTCCGGCAAAAGTCGCACACTGTGAAGCCTGTTGGAGCGGCTTCCCGAGAGTCAGTCATATGGCCTGGAGTGCGGATAGACTCGCACCGGAATCACCCGCTCCGTTGAACTAGCCTTAAACTATCTCAATGGATATGTGTCTGTCGAGCCATCTGATAGTCCGCTGTAGTTGAAGATAGTTGAGGAAGAGATATTCCGGTCATACATAAATGTTTGCAGGACGTGCAAGATATCTTGTCGAGCTAGCAAGCGGCGATTGGTATTGCGACGGTTGGATTGCGATTGTCCGATCACCCGCGTGATCAAAGGGATCATGGCGTATCATCTCGGGAGATGATTGGAATGCGAGAATCGCCGCCCTTTTACGGGTATATCTTGGGAATTGCTCACAAGACTTCCATCTGAGATCCCATTGAATCCTTGCGTTCTCCTCTCACCCGCGAGATATCGGCCAATCTGGCTGCTCGACATCTCCGCGCCTAGACGACGTGTCGGACCACATTTACCGCAGCGATGCTCAAATGCAGAAACACGGAGTACTACGTCTGCCATAAGGCCTCTCTACCTCCTCCTCCGCGGGTGAAGCCCAGCCCCTTCACACGCGTGAACGACCCGTGATCCGTCGAAACAAATGAGAAGTTGCGTCCGCACTTCTGAGCACGAGTGCGGGGGCCGCCAGTGATGGTCAAAATGTCTTCCCTCGCTCTCACCATGCACGAAAGTGTCTGTCGACTTCGCAACGTCAAAGGCTCTGGGCTGAACTTCTTTCGCACAGCTTCCTAGTCGCAATGAACACCGTGTGTAAGCCGGTCATTTGCTAGGCAAACGGGTTTATTTATCCCCGGTACATTGCAGATAATCTTTTGCATGTCTCGGTGATGGAATCTTTGGCTCAGACATCTCGTCCATGCTCAGCGTATTACCTTTCGCATTGAAAAGTGTTCCACGGCCCCGGCTCGAATGCTTGAGTAGCGAATGTAGCGGCCCTCCCCGCCGAGCCCTTTGTCCGATCGATTCCGGTGAGATCGCTGGGAGATAGACTGGGATGCGAGCGCGCTGTAAAGCTAGCGGATTTGATGTGGGTTGGAGGGTCTATGTTGCAGTGTGTATTCACGGTGCGTGATTCGATTCTGCAGAGAACGTGCTTGTACTGAATCACAGTAGACCCGCAGCTTGGCGACTGTCAGACGGTAGACCTGGCACTTCGACTCGTGCCATTTATTGCGCCCACATACCAAGGCGAAGTCATATTGCCGCCGAATCAACCCTCTACAACAATGGCCCACGACTTGGGATATCCTCATCCGATACTGCCTGCAATTCGGGTGCATTTTTCATCGATTGCCCCGCATTGTTCCGCAGTTTCCGTGGGCCGTAGAGACGATTCCCGCGTTGATCCTCACTCTCGGTGTGCAGTTCCTTCCCCAATCACCTCGCTGGTTATTGGATAACAGCTATGAGGACGCGACCTTCACCCGGTGTTGGACATGTCCTGGTCGTGCAGGAGTGTGAAGAGATCAGTTCAGCGATCAGGTGGCGTTTGAGAGATGAGGTATCGCTCGCCGACGTTCCCCGGGCCGTCGCTCTAGATGTGGACGTAACTCTACTCGCATCATGATATTCATCCCTAAGGCACCGCAGGTCAACCTGGTCAACTGCTTACCCAGAGTCTGAAGGTGCTATAACGTATGCGCCTTACAAGAGCGCATCACATCATTTTACCTCCATTCGCATTTTCTTCATGTATCAGGTGTCGCGTTCCCTTCGTTGCGTCGTAGATGTTCATAACATTGTCTGCAGCCGAAAGCGGCCGTCGGTCTCTTGAGGACATCGAAGACGTTCTGGTCAAATGTTATATCTTCTCTGCGTGGTTTATCCCAGCGAAGCATGGCTCAAGAATCACGATAGCAATATAGAAGAGAAAGCCAGTATCTCAGGATGATTCACAAGACTAATCATTTCTCGGCCAGCTTGAAATCAGCCTATCTCAGTCGTCGACCTCTATTTCTTAAATGCTGAACTGTTTGTTTCTGTACCAACGTATGGTATACAAAAGTAGATGGAAAATGATCTGAAATGAATGATTTATTGCAATTTGAACGTACCGGGAAATGCCGATCTTTGTGATGGGCGATGTGCATAGCCTCCACGTGTTTCTCCTGCCTGTCGTCCATCGCTCGCCGAATCAATCGATCATTTTCGAATCTCCTGGTCATCGCACATGTCCACCGTCGCCCCACCGCCGCCAGCAGCCTCCAGACTCACATCCAGCATCTATGAGACCCACATCATCCGCCTCAAAACTCTTATACGCCCAGGCGACGTGCTCAAAGTCGTCCTGCCAGCCTTCGTGGCCCCTGTGCAACGATCGTCAGCAGCAGCTGAGGAAGAGAGAATCAAGCAATACGCGTTGGACGGGCAGAGAATTGTGGCGGTAATATCGCACACTGAGCCGGATGGGAATGGGAAGGAAGAAGGCAGCGTCTTTGTGTTCGGGCTGAACCCCCAATCCTCCGTGCTCCGGACCTACCCCATATACGGCGGATTCTCGATCTCGATGGCGCAGGTATCTCCCAAAGAGGGTTCTGGGATGAGTTTGACGCTCAAGCATGAGTCTGAGGTCCAGGTCAAGGGCGACGAGCCAATGACGTTGTATTGTGCTCCGGATTCGCACTCGATCGACAAGCTCAAAGAGATGTTGGCTGAGTGCAGACGATTAAAGGGCTCTTCTGGTAAGTCTACTTTGTTTATTTTTACTCTCCGCTTCCTTCCTTTTCCCCGGATTCTCCACCCCAACATCCTTGCTCTCAAACCGGGCGCTGCTTATTTCCGGCTTTGTGCCAGCGGATCTGACAACGATGTACAGATGCTGAACCGCCGACCTCACCGCTGTCACCCTCATCAGCCGCTGCAGCCCTCACAACATTCTCCTGGCTTGCTCCATACTCCTCGCCGCGCCCCACCCTTACTCCGTCCTCACCGTCCTTTCTTGCGGACTCATCGACCATCCCGCCTGATCTCCGAACCAAGTCTCAACCACTGCCGGAGCGCCTCTCGAACGCTTCTGCAGGAGCTCCGGGGGACGACGCTGCAGACATCTCCCTAATTCGAGAGGACTGGATGCGCCAGCGTCGGAGAGACCAGCGGGCGAGAAACGAGAAGAAGGATCTGAGGTGTGTTCTAGCATGTAGACGATGTGAAATTAGCGCTCATAGTCATTATTACCTCACAGGATCCGAATGGGCACCTTTAATGTCAATGGCACTCTACCCTCGCATGATCTAGGACCATGGTTCGGCGCATCTGGAACCGTGCCCAGACTAGAAAACGACAACGACAACGTGGATGCCGCATCTACGGCAAATTTGAAGTCAAGCCCAGTGCCTCGCATACCCTCTTTGGAGGACGTGTCACCATTTTCGGTTCCCCTGCCCGCCGATGACGACGAGGAAGAAAAGAATCCGTTCGACGATCCAGTCTTCACAGACCCGGCGTCTCCTGTGGCTGACATATATGTCCTCGGGTTTCAGGAGCTGGACCTTTCGGCTGAGGCTTTGTTGTACGCATCTGGCAGTGCGAAGGAGGAAGCTTGGACAGCAGCAGTATTTGCTGGGCTGGGAGCGCAGAGGGATTCTTATGTCAAGGTGCAAAACAATCTAACTCCTGCGGCGACTTTCGCTTATGGCCTATCCTTAAGATCGCATCCAAACAACTGGTTGGCCTCCTCCTCTTTGTGATAGTCCACCGCGACCTGGTCTCGTCTATCGATGACATTCGGAGTGTGTCAGCTGGGGTCGGAATTATGGGCTTGATGGGCAACAAAGGCGGAGTTGCTATCCGACTGCGGTATACACCGCCATCATCCCAGTCTTCTACAATTTTGACATTCGTCAACTCTCATTTGGCCGCGTTCGACGAGATGTTCGAGAAACGGAATGCTGATTATCACGAGCTGTGCCGGAAGTTGGTGTTCAATCTAAGTACCAGTTCGAGCGCTCCTGCCGCTGGAGGACAGCTACCCGAACTGGCTGTGACGTGTAATGTATTCGAGACGGATGTTCTATTTTGGATGGGCGGTGCGTGTTGCTCCCAGTGCGAACTCGTTGAGACTAATGGTGCCAATGCGAACCCCAGATCTGAATTACCGGATCTCCGCTCCTGATCCGGACGTTCGTACGATCCTCGCCGCTTCCGAATGGGACTCTTCGCGGTACGAGACCCTCCTCGGATATGACCAGCTTCGGCAAGCGATGCGAGATGGGAAAGCATTCGTAGGGTTCACAGAAGCACCCCTTCGATATTTCCCGTACGTTGGTCGTGCATTACAAATTTGACTTACTGATCTGAGTGCAGCACCTATCGCTTCAATACTGGGCTCCTTCGAGACGATCTTGGATACGATCTCAAGCGCCGGCCTGCCTGGTGCGATCGAATTCTATACATGTCGGACTTGGAGGTTACCACAGTGAAATACCAGGCGTACCACACCGTCCAGGGTAGCGATCATCGACCTGTTGGCGGCGAATACGTTGTTCGAGTGCTTCATCTCTCGATGTCGACCTTTTTCGGCGCTGACGGGAACGTAGGTTGATATACAGAGCGAAGAAGGAAACGCGCTGGAACTAAGCAACCTGCTTGACGGGCTGGGGGAAGCACGAGGGAGTTTGAAGGTGTCGGATTCGGTCCTCGATCTCGGACACATTTCGTGAGTCGCTATCTTCTTTCCCTTATTTTGCGTGACTGGGCATTAGCCTGGGCTCGAAAATCATTCGTGAAGTCACCATTGAGAATACGAGCCCTGTCCCGTGTTCTTATCGGCTCGTCCAGATCGATTCGGATTCCGATCCTCGTGCGTGCTCAAGGTTCATTCCGAGTGCGCGACTGACTTATTAGATCCGGAATGGCTTCATGTCGAGCCGGCGGTGGTCAGTTCTAGCTACTGCTCGTCACAACCCATCCAATTTTATGATCACAGGCCGTGCTGCTCCCATCATCGTCGCTTACTTTGACCGTTTGCTGCTCCGTATCGGCAGTGACTGCGGCCGAACTCAACAGGAGGCATATGTTCTCGCGCGAGATCGAGTGCACGCTAATTTTGCATACTATCCTGAGTGCTGGGATGGGGAAGGATCATTTTGTTCGAGTGTGCGGCTACTGGGGTGCGTCGCAGCTTCTCTCCTCGGTTTGTAAATAGCAACAGGTTTCAGAGCCGACATGCTTTGCTACACCGTTGACCACTCTAATACTGCTCCCTGGATCCATCCGCTCTGTAAAATCGGCGGCAGATCTGTTCACTGCGGCCCGAGGAATCAATGCTCCTCGTGAAGTAATGCGGTTGGTAAATTGGATGATGGGGGCGGAGGTTGAACTGGTGCGTGCGGTTCTTAGAACACTCTATTCTCTGCTCATGACAACAGAGCAAACTATTCACCGCTCCCGCTAACATCACTGAGATCCGGGAATGTCTCGACACCGGCTCCGAATTCCCGACTGACGTATCAAGCCTTGCGATCGCCGAAACACTTGTCCAGCTCATTGCAGCACTGCCTCAGCCGCTCATTCGCCCCGAGTTACAGCTGCAATGGTTCGGTGTGGATGGACTGGTAGTGGACCGGGACGAAGCGTTTGAGTTGTTGGACCAGATGAGTCCTGTCGAGGTCAATGTGTGGATCTCAGTCACCGCGTTCCTGCATTACGTTGCGCAGGGTTCTCAGACTCGCGTACAGGAATTAGGTGCGTGGTTCCCGTCCGTGCCCATCCGTTCTCATTCTTGAAAAGCCTCGATTTTTACACCGGTATTACTTGGGGACCCAATATTGGGCGTTTCTCCTGTCGCGCGGAGGAGGTTCCTGTTGTTGTTTATCTCCGCGTAGACTGGGACGTTCGTCGAGGATAATTCGGTATGCGATTGTCAGAGGATGACACGTCATAGTGCTGCTAGGTACAAAGTATAAATCCAAGACGCCCATGACGTTCCTCTGCTATCACGGTCCGTTTGCGCCCTTCATTGGCTGTGCCCGGAGCCCATCAGGCCATCACGATACCCGGCCTGTCCCGTGATCTGATCTGGGACATACATTCACACTGTAGAGAGAAAGTGGGTCTACAGTCGAACAGGCGAAGACATAGGGCTTTGAATTTCAAAAGGTTCCTGCTTCTAGACGGCAGCCGCTAGGGTTTGGGATCTGTCGGATTGCAGAGGTCGTATTCAAACGGAAAAGCTCCTAAAACCATACCCTCAGCCGAAGACCCGTCTTTGAAGTGGCCTTTGAGGTCTATTCACTCGTAATATCTTCGAAGATCATAGGTTATGGCAGCGAGCCAACTAGCATCCGACTCTGTGAGGCCAAGCGGATGCCTATTGGCGCCGGTATAGTCAATGTGCATCACGGTCATACACTTTCCTTGGTGTTCTAATTTCTTATGGCGGCTCAATTGCAGTAAGCTTCTTGCGTTCTTCAGTTCAACAGACTCCGCCCGAGCTCTTGTGATCGGATCCCGAAAGATCAGCTTGAGATAAGATAAGTTTATTTATTCTCTGTCACATCACGACGCCTTCCATCAACTCGTGACAAAAGACGATCATGCTTTTTCCCGACTAGGTACTTATTGGCCTGAGAGTGACGCTGAGCCTCAACCACATCCAATACTCGTCGGAAAAAAGACACCGAATTCATGATATGACTTGACGGAGACTCATCTGGGTGAATACCCTTCCGTGCTTGACGTTAATTCAGAGTCTAACTGCTCATCTGTTACCACAGCGGATGTGTGCGGTGGAACGCACACCGATACCTGGTAACCGATTGAAACGACGTGCAGCTGGACGGATGAACCGTCTGGCCTACTCTCTTGATATCAGCTAATAGGCGAGTACACTGGGTTGGCTTCGAGATATCGCTGATCCCTCCTTGCCATGCCCTCAACTTCTTCCCATTCAGACCCCGGCCCTCGCCTCCGCCCCCTTCAATAAGGACTCTCCTCAAGGAATCCAACTGATGTTTCGTCGCCCTCCCGACAGCCGCCACGTCAATGAGAATGATCGACCCACCACTCCTGAGCTTCACACTTGCTGTCAAGCACGATCGAGGATTCATTTCCTCCCAAAACGAGACTGGATGTGTTTGGAATCGTGTCTGAACTGTCGATGAGCAATTAGTTACCTTTGAAAACGGGCGGCAGAGGGCGCCTTAAAAACCAATGGTGTCGAAAGGATGAGACTCACTAGCATCGTCGTCCCCGCGCCTCGTCGGAGCTGCGTCTCACATTCTTTCACGACCAACGCTGCAAGTGTCTTCGTCGGCTCAACTTGCTCAACTGCTTGACAGGCCCGCTTGTCTCTTCTCTCGTTCCAAAGCTCACTCTCTTTACTTCATCGGCACGGTCCACATGCGGTTCATTGCACTTTCTCTTGCCCTCGGAGCACCTTTCCTTTCACTTGGACGGACAGTTTCTGTCCCTCGCACACCCTCCATCTCCTCCGACGTCATCGCTCGTACGCATGCCCATGGGGCAGCGGGTGCTTCAACCTCGATGTGCGGCTGTATATCCGGCGGCATTGAGATTGGGGGCATCCACTACGGCGACATCTCAGGTGTGTTCCCTGCATGATCAGGTATCGGCGCCTTCGTCCTCACAAGATTTCAGCCTCCGAGGAGATCTGCACATGCGCATCGCTTCTCGCTTCGCTCGTCGCGGACATCAAGCTCAGTCCTATCACCTGGGCCCTGGATGTGCTCGGCCATGGGGCTGTTATCGCCAGTTTGACGGACAAGGTGTGTCGACTTGTCTTTACGATCTGCTTTGCTCACATCTGCATTGGCAGCTAAACAACTGCGACACGAAGCGTACCTGTTCTCTCCCAGCCTTTGCCGAGTCTCGCTGCAAGAGGGACGATATCTGCGGCTTCGAGTGCTCCGGCGGATACTCTCGCGAGGGTGATCACTGCGCGGATAGCTCTGTGGTTGCTGACGGTCAAGTTGGCGCTGGTGTGGAAGTCGGCGGCGGTGTATCTGTTGCCGGGGACGTCGGCTTCTCGGTCTCGTCTGAAACGACAACTTCTGTCTGTGCCTGTATCTCGGGTGATCTTAAGGTCAAGGGCAACGAGTGCGGAGCTGTCTCAGGTAAGAACTTTGCTTCCATCCATCCCACCACTCATGCCTTGTAGCTTCGGATGAGCTATGCACTTGTGTTTCTCTCCTGCCCTCACTGATTGGATCTATCTCGGCTGCTGGCGCAGGACACATTGGGGCATCCATCGGCATCGGTGCTGGGCTTCAAGTCGGCATTGGCGCTAGTCTCGGTGGTGCTATTTCGGCTGGTCTGGGCTTTGGCTCTGTTGGAGATGTTGTGGGCAGTCTCAGCGGACTGGTGCGTTCACCATGCTTTCGAATAACGCACCTTGTTTCTTAACCAATGCAGATTGAATCGTGCGGCGCCCAGCAATCATGCACCTTTCCACCGTTTGCTGTTCCGGACTGCAAGAAGCAAGCCATCTGCGGCTTCACCTGTGGAGAGGGATACAGCAAAGTGGGTGAGGAGTGCGTCAAGCCGTTGAGTGGTTCTTCGGGCTCTTCCTCTGGTCAATTGGGTCCCGGTAACTCTGGATCGACGGGATCCGGTAGCTCCGGTGAGTCAGGCTCAGCATCTAGCAGCTCAGGCCCTTCAGGCTCAGACTCTTCGGATTTAGATTCCGGTAGCTCGGGATCGTCGGGCTCCGGATCATCTGAGTGCGCCTCTACCGCGACATCCTGCACGGATTCGACGTCGACGATGGCAACGAGACCCACTTCGACTACGACTACAACTTCGTGCACCGACACTGCAACCACCACTTCCCCAGCTGCGACTCCTACCGTTTCCAATTCAGGTTCCGGATCTTCTGGATCATCTGGATCATCTGGCAGCTCGAAATCCTCTGGAAGCACCGGCTCTGACTCGAGTGGAGAATCATCTGGCTCATCGGGTCATGGCCCAGGCGCAGGCTCTAGCCTGGAACCATCAGGGGGGTCCGCCTCCAGCGGCTCTTCAGGTAGCTCGGGAAGTGGGAGCGCGTCATCGGGCTCCGGCTCTTGGTCGAACACATCTTCATTGTGCGGCTGCGTCTCTGGATCACTGAACGTCAATGGCAAACATTGTGGATTCATCTCTTGTGTGTCCTCTTTCATAATTGTACATCCGTCGATCTTGGTTCTGACTGCACTGCTAGCTTCTCAAAGCCTTTGCTTCTGTGTCAATCAGCTCCCTAGCCTCGTCGCTTCCAGCTCTCTCGACGTCATTGCCGTTGGTCTTCAAGTCGGATCTGCTGCTGATGTTGTCACCGCACTGACTGCCAAGGTGGGTCATCTTTACCTGCCGCTCAGTCCGAGACTGAATTCTCCTGCACAGCTGTCGACTTCTGCTGCCACAAAGACCTGCTCGTTCCCCCTCTTCTCCACCTCAACGTGCGGAAAGTCCGATCTCTGTGCCTTCTCCTGCGCACCGGGCTTCAAGTCCAAGGGCGGAGCGTGCGTTGCTGGATCTGGGCACGCCGAAGGACATGGAGATAGCGGGGGAAAGGAGCACGGTAAAGCATATGGGCACGGCAAACACGGTCACGAACACAGCACTGGACTTGGATTGGGGCTGGGTGATGGTCTCAGCCTGGGTCTCGGTCTGGGCGGGCAAGCTAGCGCGAGCGCCGGTTTTGGTATCTCGGCGGGCGGCATGCTCTCCCTGGCGGTTCCTAGCGCGTCAATCTGCGGCTGTGCATCTGGCTCGCTGGAAGTCAATGGTAATCAGTGTGGTGACATCCCTGGTGCGTTGACATCCTCCTATCTCTCGGCTACCCCTGACCAATGCGCAGCATCCGCAAACTTGTGCGCGTGTCTCTCGACTCTTTCCGTCGCGCCATCTGCCTCGACCCTCCTCTCCCACCCCGCCGTCGCCTCTCTTGATGCTATCCGCGCTGGATTGACCATTGCCAGCGAGGCCGACGTCGCCGCTGCTTTGGGTGCGAAGATCTCTGCCTCCGTAGGTGTGTCCGCTGGCGTAAGCGCACAGACCTGCGCCTTTCCGGCATATGCCGAATCTCGCTGCTCCGCCTCCGATGTCTGCGCATTCGATTGCGCGTCGGGTCACTCCAAGGACGGCAAGTTCGGCATATGTGTTTCCTCGGATACGAATGTCGGAGGGAAAGTAAGCGGCGGCATCCTTGGCTTGGGTATCAAGCTGCCTTTCGGCTTGAGCTTGTAACGATATCGGTACGCAATGTGCTCTAATGCCATGGACTTCTCAGAGCTGCTTACTCATCTATGTGCTCCTACGTATTCACTCTACGGACCGATTTCTTCCACATTGTATCTCCTGGACATTCTTCTGGTTGTACATTCTAGTTACCCACTTGTCCTCCTTGTAAATTCGGTCCTCTGGGATCATTGAGACCCTCGTGTCGCAGGACTAGTCGGTCTTGGAAACCGGATAATTGGTTTATTGACTCCGATTTGAATCATAAATTCACTGAGAGGTGATAGCCCTTAGTTCCAGTCCTATCGAATGCAGTACGAATTCCTCCGTCTGTACTCCGTTGATTTCAAAAATTCGAGACGAGGAAATGCGAGTGACAAGAAACCGCTTTGCGGAAGAACGGCCAGGAACGCTCAGGAATGTAACGACGGGAAAACGGACATTTCGAAAAAGGAAATCTCAGTCACGTAATGTCAATCACCCACCACACCGCTCGCGGCCAAGGCTAGGCTGACTTCTTATAGGTCGTCAGGAGGCAAATGGCTGACACATTTTCCTCACCCCCTCTTTTTACCGCCGCCCAGACAAGCTTCACGAACGAGCATGGATGTAGGGACAGTTGCGACAACCAGCGGCACCAGCGCTGATGGTCTTCGCCCACTCTCCCCGAGTCGTGAATCGGACGTTACTTTCGCACCTACAGTACCACCAATGGAGCCAGCAGGACATCGTGTCCCCGTGTTCACTGCCAGCGTCTTCGATAAAACTCCGAGTGCCGCGGCGTCACTCAAACAGTACCTGCGCATCATGGTCGCCGGTGTCCTTGCGATCTCGTTTATCATCTTTGGCGTTTTCTCCATCTACTGGGGCAGCGTGTGGTCTACGCCTCGCTATGCAGTCGACGGCTGGATTGTCGACTTTGACGGCGGACAAATTGGAGCGGCCGTCTCGTCCGCGATCAGTTCTATCCCTTCTGGACGCGGTATCGCTTGGAAGATTCTACCCGCGGCTCAATTTCCCGGTGGCGTAGCCGATTTGGAAGCAGCTGTGAAACAGGAGAAGATGTTTTATGGGCTCGCTAGTACGCCGACTCCTTTCAGGATTGGTCTTTCGTGCTCATCTTGTTCCTGATCTCAGTCAATGCGGGCGCTACGGCGAACTACACCTCTGCGCTGGCGAGTGCGAGTGCGTCCTATGACGGCAGCAATGCTATCTGGTTCATTGGTGCCGAGGCGAGAAATCAGAATGTCTAGTGAGTGCTCGAGGACGGTCTGAACAGTCGCGCTCTGACACGGCCTCCAGTCCGATCCACCTGCAGATCATGACCGGCGAGCTCTCGTCTCTGACCCAACGCATGGCAAGGCAGATGGCGAATAACTTGACTCGGAACGGAAACATCAACACGATCCTCACCAGCGCCCCTCAGCTGGTGACTGATCCTGTCGGCTATACCGTCGACAACGTCATTCCGTTCGATATACCGGTGGCCACGGCAGTCACTTTTGTTGGCCTGATCTATCTGCTGATTCTTTCTGTGCGCGTTAATTTCTTGGTTTGCCTAGCCAGGACTGACTTTCGCAGTTCTTCGTCGTCGTCATGTCCGCAGGAGCTCGTACTGCTGCCGGCTACGAACAGACTCTCAAGCTCCGATCTATTGTTTTATTGCGTTTTGCCTCGTCTTTCGTTTCCTACTTCTTCATCTCCGTTCGTGCTTTTTTTGTCTACAACGCGCGTTCTAAATGCCTGCTCGCAGTTATTTTACACTCTACTTAGTCGTGCGTTCCAAGTGTCCTATTCACGGCATTTCGGACAAGCCGGATTTGTGATCTTCTGGTTCCTCAACTGGATGTCCATGTGCGCCACGGGCCTCGCGCTCGAGGCCATGATCACTCTTCTGACCATTCAGTTCATTCCATTCTTCCTACTCCTCTGGATCATCTCCAACGTTTCTACGTGTGTCTTTCCGATCGAGATTTTGCCGCATGTGTATCGGTACGGATACGCATGGCCGTTCTATAATGTCGAAAAGGCCGTTCGGGCTATTATTTTCGGCACGAAGAACGACAGTCAGTTTATCTTTCACATCGTTTGCCGTTCTCATTCTGACACTACTTCCAGTTGGCTTAAATTTCGGAGTTCTCCTTGCATGGATTGCGGTTTCTTTGATCACGATGCCGCTGTTCCAATTCTTGGCGCGCAGGAGGGCTTTCAAAGCGGCCGCCATCGCAACGGCGGATGGACCCTCTGAAAAATCTTGAACCCTGCGGCTCGATAGACGTAGGACACCTCTAGATTTTCCTAATGCGTATCTGCCAGTGTAATCAAGCTGTTCAGGACTCGTGTACAATACTTGTATGACTGACTATAATGCTGTATGAGCTGCACATACCACAGAAGCGGTTCGTTGAGTGAGAATGTCTGTTATCTCATCGACCTATTCTTCCTGTTGTCATGTGCATGTGATCAGAGAGCCTGACAACGGCGATTTCTCCGAACAACCCCAAGCATTACTTGGTTCTCAACGGAGTGTCTGACAAATCATTGATGGAATCGGACTGAGCGCATCGAATAATTAGTCTCAACACACTCGTCCTATTGAAAGAAACCACACGGGCACGGGCTGAGACGGCGGCCACTCTGAATTGTGAGGTGTGCTTTGACATGTGATGATGCCGCTTCCACATTTCAAGTTAATCGTGGCATGCACGGGGTGGGGTTCCATGAGGATGAAAATATAATCTCAGGTGTCATACGGTAGACCCGAATGCCGGAGCAGCACGTTGAGAAGGGAGCAAGTGAACCGCTGCGACAGCGACGACAGAGCCTGTGGAGATCCTCCCATTACGCCTCGTGAGAAATATCTTCTCAGCTTTTCGTTGCACTGGAGTGAACGAAATCGCTTTCTCCTACACACCGAGAAGCCATTAGTCCGAATTTTCCTTCAATGTAGACGGGGAATCATTTTCAGTGCCCAGAGCGGATCCCACAGCCACTAAGCGAATCTGCGAAACACGTGCATAGATCGGCCTCCGTCACTTACTGTCAATCATTTTTTGTAACCGACTTCGATGATGCACACCAGTGACCAGTCCACAGACAGCCCTCGCTCTTTCTCTCTCCAGCAGGCGGACGGAACGCTCGTTTCTTCCCCTCACCTGAATTTCTTCCTCCTGTGTACACAGTAAACTCACAGTCTTTTCACACTCTCCTTTTCACGCTCCTCTCTCCCCTTCGCTCTTGGCGGAGAGATTCTATCATCGGCCTGGCTACGGGGTCGATTCGGCTCGCGCGTCAACAAGAGGAAGAAGTAGAACGACGTGGCGAACAGGCTTAAGAGACGAACGTAGTGCAGTAAAGGTTTTCCTGGTGCGCAGCAAGTCTCGGCCATACTTTACCGCACTTCTACTGACATCCGGAAAATATCAGCCCGGACGCGATGCTTGGACGCGACACCACACCCCTGCGTCCCAAAATCCGTGTGCCAGCTTCCAACACCATACAAGCGACCCGCAAATCAGCCTTGCCAGTCAGGAAGCCCGATGTCAAAGTGAAAGATCGCGGGGGTCCGAGCGCGAATGCGGGAACTGTGAACGCGGAGTTGACGATGAGCACCCCCGAGGCGGACACCCGGTTACGTTCAGGCCGCTTACCCAGCTCTGCATTACCGGCCAGTGCGTCTGGACCTTCGGTCACCCGCACTTCGGCGAAGGCTGCTGTAGAGACGGGGATCACAGAAACGGGCATTCCGGCGACTTTGCCCGTAGAGCCCTCTCGATCTATCCCGATTCTTCGCTCCGCTGCTTCCCCATTATCCAAGACATCCTCGTCTACCACGAAGCTTGCATCACCGCCAACTCGTCTGCGCCTACCTTCAACGACAACGCGAAGTGCCATCCTCTTCCCAACATCGGCATCGTCCGAGGTGCCAGCTCCCTTAAGCTCAACGACCTCCCTAGTGCCTCCAACACCTGCTACAAAGCCTTCAACAGGGCCATCTCGATTGCGTGCGCCTTCGACGAAGGCACCAGGTGTCGCGCTTCCGAAATCGATTTCGTCTACCGCAGCAAGACGGGATGCGACACCAAAGCCCGCTCAGACTGTTTCCAATTCATCTAGCGTTTCGCCCCAAACCCCATCAGCGCTTCATTCGATTTCTAAGCTGAAATTGCCGACAACGCTCATGATAAAGGGTGCAGCCAACCCAACAGGGACAGCAATGTTACGCGGTAGGACGATTTCGGCCGCTGCTTCATCTGCACCGCGTAAATATGCGGCTACGACTTCGATTCCCCGCGCCAGGACGCTGTCGATGATGGGTGCAGGGTCAAGCAGAAAACAGCCTTCGCCAGTACCTCCGGTTCCGACAAGCCCTGGGCCGCGCATGCGATTGGGCACTGTGGCTAGCGGACCCACCGCCGTCGTACCGCCTGCCGTACGTGCTAGAGCGACCGCCACACTTGGTGCGAGGCCTGGCAAACTGTCCACTTCGTCGCCCGCGTCAACGAAGACGTCTGTTACGGGTGTGGCCACTAGTTACGTCACATCTAGCACCGCCGTTAAGACTGATTTGCCGACCGCGACCGCGACGATGCCTGCTTCTGCCTCGAGGTTGAGGAAACCCAGCTCAACAGGAAAGCTAGCTGCTTCTACAGCTGGTATTGGGGGCAACGGGAGCGTGTCCAGTGCTGTCTCAGGTCCCAGGTTCGTTTGTTTGATCCGACTGTCGCGTCTAGTGTCTGTTAATGACCCGCTTGGACAGCGTAACCACCTCTGCCGAAGGATCTCTGATTCTGACGACATCTGGGCCAGATGCAAGTACAGCGGCACTCATCCAACGTACATCCGGGCCGTCTCTTACTTCCCCGACTCAGCACATACCTGATACCTCATCCGCAACTACCGCGATCAGCCCAGAAAAGATCCAGCCTGCAATCCCTCGGTCAAAGTCTGCCGCGGTGCTGTCATCATCATCCGCACGCAAGAGAGCTCCACCAAGCATAGTCACTGATACTTATTCCCTGCCGTCTCGTGTGCAGGTCATTTCACCATCGTTACCCTTGAGACGAACATCACCCCGGCCGCCGCCGAGCCCTTCATCCCCGGCACATGCAGCTGCATTTGCCACTGCACGGAGCGTCTTTCAGAGAAGGCACGACAATAGCGTTTCTTCTACCGGTCTTGTAGCCTCTGGCACTGGCTATCGATCAAAGTCCTTATCTCCATCTCCAACACCA